TCGCTGCGATTTCGCCGGCCGGTAAATTCTGGTTTTTTCTGGCGGGGAGAGAAGCTGAGAAACTGCGCGAGGAGAGAGAAACGAGAGGAGAGAGAAACGCAAATCGATGGAGGGTTACAAAAAGGTGTTGAGGGTATTATGGAGACAACACATTTATAAAGGTATTGTCTGAAGATGTTTTTTTTTTCCGTCAAGTGAGGGGTATGCCATGAAGTCAATGTAGCAAAGTAAGGGCATTTTTGATAATGCCCCTTTTTAATGCAATGTGGAAAGGGAAATTCTCAAATTTCAAAGGTCGGTCCAAGAAAGAAAAAAAAAACATTCAAATTTGAATATTTGGTCGTAATCACAGACGGCGTGGCATTTGCGTTATTTCTCATTGATTCGGAGGACAAATTTGACAATGCAACACCCCAAAAAAGAAAAGAAGCAACGCAGCTTAGCTTGCCATATAAGGGAGAACGAAATTTCCCCTCTCTCTACGAATACAATAAAATCAAATCTCTCATTCTCTCTGTTCATTCGTAGCTTCCTTTGGCAACACATAACATATTTGGTACAGATTTTGCTTTTCTTCTTCTTCGTCTAGGGTTTTGGGTTTTCTTGATAGTTTAGGGATTCGATGGGGCAACAGTCGCTGATCTACAGTTTCGTGGCTCGAGGCACTGTGATCTTGGCTGAGTACACGGAGTTCACCGGAAATTTCACCGGTATCGCGGTGCAGTGTCTCCAGAAACTTCCTTCCTCCAACAATAAGTTCACCTACAACTGCGACGGCCACACCTTCAATTACCTCGTCGATGACGGCTTCAGTACTCTCTCTCTCTCTCATCCTGTGCATGTTTCATGAGTCTGCTTTTGGGCGTTTTGATATTCCTTAGCCTAAGTTGCTGATGTGATCTGCTGTTACCTTTTTCATCTGACTGTTATTGCGACGTGCTTGAGTTACCCTGATTGGATGTTTTTGCGTAGATACAGTGGTGGGTTGTCGGTGTCGGTTGCTGTTACTGATGAGAATCTGTGATTGTCGGATCTGTTGGGGATAGCTTTTGTTTACGGATACGTGAAGAACATGAGTTTGGTCTCCTTGTGGTTTTATTTGCCCAAAGAGCTTAGAATCTGGGTGTTTTCAACTGGAAGGTTTTGAGTCATTTGCTTGGCTGTTTCTTGCCTGTTTGAGATATAACAATCAAGCGTTTTTCCATTTAGACACACTCGACCCTGAGTTATGATCATATATCGCTGGAACTTGTTTGACATATGATGGAATGAAAGGTGAATCGTGTATTGGGTCAGAATGAGAAACTAATTTCCTGTTTAGGCTGAAAGGCAGCTCCATTGTGATGTCCTGTGCTTTTGATGAGCATTTAAGAGATTTCAATGTGTTGCTATTATTTTATAAGATTTGCTTAGACATGTTTCCTGTTATGTCTTCCTCAAATGAAGTTACGCCCCTTTCTTGGACGCGTAATTAGTTGCCCCCTTATTAGCCATTTCCTGATTGACCTGTCCATGACTAACGCTCTGTTCAATTGTTGTAGCTTACTGCATTGTTGCGGTTGAGTCTGTTGGTCGGCAGCTTCCAATCGCCTTCCTTGATCGAGTCAAGGAAGAGTTTACCAAAAGATATGGTGGGGGGAAAGCAGCTACTGCAACTGCAAACAGTCTCAGCAAGGAATTTGGGTAGTTTTTCTTGTATTCTCTCCTGTGAGTATATATCTCAGGCACAGCCAGTGACTGGTATTGATCATTTTTCTCTGTAATGAATGGTCCAGGTCTAAGCTGAAGGAGCAGATGCAGTACTGCGTGGATCATCCCGAAGAGGTTAACAAGTTGGCTAAGGTCAAAGCGCAAGTTTCGGAGGTGAAAGGGGTTATGATGGAGAACATTGAGAAGGTATATGACATCATTCGCTTTTCGAGTTATATCCCCAACTCTTATTGCAAGCCAATGGAGTGCTTGTTTAGGATGCAGCATTCTAATTTGTTGCGTTTTTATTACGGTGTTTAAGGTTCTTGATCGTGGAGAGAAAATCGAGATTCTGGTGGATAAAACAGAGAATCTCCAATCCCAGGTAAGCTAAAGCTCATGTTTTTGAGTCCTTAATGGAAACCGATATATTGATGGTAGTTTTAGTTTAGATGTTATAGACATGGAAAAAAAATCTTCGAATTATATTCAACCATGGTTCTCGTTCATCGTTTCTCATCACTTAGCTTTTCTTCGAGCCCGTCATGCCTCATTTCGATGCATCCTATCCAGTGAACATAAACGAAAGTGCTTCTTCTTCTTATTTCCTTTGTTAGGCACAAGACTTCAGGCAGAACGGTACGAAGCTGAGAAGGAACATGTGGCTTCAGTTTTCCTTGATAGGGCATTCTCATCACCTTGATTCTCATCATCGTTCTATCAGTGTGCGGAGGCTTCAAATGCTGAACCAAATAACATATTTCCGACAAATCCTCCGGATTCACACCCGATTCTTTTTCGGGTTACGGATAGAGATTCCAAGGGCTTCTTTCCATCACCATCCTCGACATTATAAAGACATCCACCTCTATAGTGAGAGTACCACCTCCCCCATTCTTTTTTTTTCTACTTCTCTGATAATCTCTATGATTGATGCTTGCATTACCGTGCACTTAAATTTCTTTTATCTACACATGTTTATATCCTTTGTGTTTCCAGTTAGAAATGCGATTTTGTATTCTGAAATTGTTCCATTGTAAAGAGATGAAATTTGATGTGAGCACATATATCTCTGTTCATAAGGTTAAGACATAGATCTCACTGTTTGTCTAAAAGCCTCGCCGTCCCAAACCAGGCAGCAATTAACACATATGATTGACGGCTGGAGAGCTTTTTGATTCAACTATCTCCAGCAAGCAACATTTGACGAGTAAGGTTTCATGTCATATACAAGAAAAAAAAAAGATTGGCAAGATAATAAAAAGATAAACGTATTTCTCAAATGTCATTAAAATTGTAGACCTAAATCAATAGTTTGGGTGAGAGTGCTGTGAAAAACAGTTGATTTAGTGTTTCTTTTAATTATGATAACATTATGGCTACTATTCAAGTTTCGGAAGAGGTCGAGTTATATGTAGAGTTACCATTGCAAACTTCTGAAATCGCTCTATTTTAACAATCATTCCCTGTATTTTAGGGTTTTTAAATTTAACCTGGTGCAAAAGTTTTTTTTTTAAAACAATACGAGAATTTACCGAATTTTTGGTCTGACTACATCTCTCACAGGAATGAGAAAATAAGCAAATAAAAACTTAGACCCGGATTAGAAAAGAGTTTTACTCTTGTGATACAAAAGTTATTATACATTAGTCCGACACGTTGTTGTTGTTATTATTATTATTATTATTATTTATGCCAAGATATATATTAACTACCCACTTAATTATTAGTTGCAATGATGGATTATATTACAAGATTGGGTCTATATATATATTCTTCAACTCCATTGACATCGGAAATCAGTATATACAAAACCCGAGAAAGGAGATGTGAGGACTGGACAAGAAAACTAGAACGAGCAATGTTTTTTTTTTTAATTTAACAAACTAATTGGTGATTTCTGAAAGAAGAGATCTCCTCGAAGATCGGAAGTCTTTTAGATTTGGACCTAAAGAGAGTGTACTCTTGACCCATGATCTGGTCAAGACCGTTGACTAGGTCAACGTCCAAGATGTTCCCCAGAAGAATGTCCTCCATGTCCTGGCTCCTCGCCCTCGGCAACAAATACTCTAACTCCCTCAGAAGCTCCTCAGCTCGTTGGCTCGTCCTGCGATCCTCCGAACCCGGAACCCGAAACTCGAGAACATCGTCCAGATTCGATCGCGCTTCCTCGTATCTCCCTTGTTTGATCAAACACATCGCCAGATTGCAAGCCTTGTTAGCGTCCGGTTCGATCATCTGGGCTTTCCTGTACACTCCTTCCGCCGACAGGTACTTGGCTTGTTGCATATATGCCCACCCCAAATTCCCCTGCGTTAACCAACACACACGTGTGAATACGTTCCCGCAATCTTGAGATCAAGAACAAGATCATATGGTGATCATAAGGAGGAACGGGGGTAATGGTACCAGCAATCTTGAGATCTCTTGTTGGACGGTGACTTGAAATTTCTTGCCGTGTGAGCGAGCGGTTTTGGTGGGTTTGCCGTTGAAAGCGTCTCCTTGATAAATCTGCCTTAGCTTCCTCTTCAACAGATCCACCTGCTCATCCACTCTTCCGCATTTCTGCATAAAATTATGAAAATGTTAGTGACAGTGCATATATATATATACACACATGTTTAGATACTTTTATACGGTGAATGAGAGTAATTAAGAACGGGCCGGGGGAGGGACCTTGTATAAGTCGATAAGGACGTTATCGAGAGAGTCTTGGGAGTTTTTGGAGCATCGGCCTCTGAAGGACTTGATGGCTTCGATGGCTTCTTCGGTTCGGTCGAGTTGCTTCATCACAACTGCCATGTCCTTGAGCGCACTGTCCACTCTGTCTCCTGCGTTTATTGCCTTCCAAAACCACACTATCGCCATCTCCGGATTCTTCTCTATCAACTGCATGCAGTTGTGGTGCATATATATACACACACACAATATCATTAGCGTACATACATACATACATACATAAGCGCCTTGATAAATGTGAAATGGTAATTTGTATATGCTGGAAGATTGGTGCATGCAACTACCTAGTAACTCTTATCTCAAACTCAATATTTTTTAAAAAAAGTCATATGATTATTCGTGGAACCGGTTCAAGTTGGTACTTACAGCTTTTGCATGGTTTATCCGAACCGGTTCAAATCACGTAATTCGAATTCATGGTCCGAAGAATGAAAAAGTCAAGGGACTATCAAACGATAAATAAAAAAAAATGTGCCCATATTCATATGTTATATGAAAAAAAATCAATCAGAAGGATATTATGCATTGGGATTCCATAAAATCCCCCAAAACAAACACGAACAAGAACATAAGAAGAAGAAGAAGAGAGTAACCTGGGCGTGTTTGGCTTTAACATAAGGTGTGTCTCCATAAGGTACTTTGTGGATTACATGAAAGAGATCTTTCTCTTTCGAGTTATTCTTGTTTCCTGCCGAGTTCTTCATCATCATCATCTCTCTCTCTCTCTCTCTCTCTCTCTCTCTCTCTCTCTCTCTCTCTCTCTCTCCAAGAACGCAATGGCAAGTAGTGATAAGACTCCGTATGGGATCTGTCTAAAGATGCAATAAACATATATGTACAAGTGTCCGTATGATGTTGTCAGAAACGAACTTAGACTAGATCTTGTCCATGTACGTAGTGCAATGAAGAGATATGTGCCACGTCATCAGATGGTGCTCAATCAACGGTCACACGTGTCAAACACCCATTGCCTTCGACTTTTGATTTTCTATTCATTCTTTAGCTTCGGTAATATTACCCGATTAAGATGAAGAGATTTCTGTGTATCATATGTTTGGTTTGCACCAAAACCCAAACTCCGATACATTTACCCATCAATTTCGCTGTTATTTTTAATAATATTCCATATTGTATAAATGCAACAGCTAGTACAATATAATTACCGCGACAAATTAAGAACCTATAGAAGATTATAACACAATTATTTAATATTATTTATACAATTAGTTTTATTTTATTTGTATCTTCTAGATATTTATAATCTAAATATTGTAATTTACTCTATTCTTATAAAATATATTATAAGAAAATTTCTAAAAATCTCGAATTGTATCATTCATGATTACAGAGGAAGTACCCAAATGAACCTAGACGGAGAATGGGGCTAAATTCGTAAGCGGCCTTCCACTAGTTAACAAGAATTGCCGCGCCAACAACGATGCCGTGTGGGGTCCACGTGCCTCTATTACTCTTAATTTTTATTTAATCATACGTAATTCACTTAGAAGAATCCCACAGTTGAGGAGATTACTTGAATCGGGACAGCATTTAGGGAGATGTTCACGATTGTGCGATTTTAAAATAATTTGGTTTGGTCAGTCCAACTTGCCTTTTAATAAACTCATCTTAGATTCTTAATGGGAAAATTAAAAACGTGGGATTCCTTGAGCATATGGATAACAAATTTCACATCGTATTGATTACCAAAAGGACCCTTCAAAATAGGATTGAATTTGGGAACAATCCAGAGACGAGACATATCCAACCCAAGCTTCTAGAAGACTAGAAACAGAATTTTACGAAGTCAACGGTCAACGATGTCAGTATCAGCCCACAAGGCCCAGTTGGAAAAGCCCATAATAGAAAGTAATTTTTTGTGACCCATTTAAAGATTTCCGAATCTCATTACAGACAACAAAACGAGATTCTTTTCTTTTTCTTTTCCAAAGGAAAAAATAATTACAAGAAAGAGAGATCAGAAGCTCTTTGCACTTTTGGCTAAATTCTGTGCATATGGAAAGAAAAAAAAACCCAAACCTTCTCTCCTTAAAGCCAACCCTATATATATATATATATATATATATATATATGCTTCTCCTTCACATATATTGTAGAAACTATTGCAAAAGGAAGAACAAAAAGAAATTTAACCATAACCCACAAGACAAGAGCCATACCAAGAAGCAAAAAAGGAAAGGGAAAGGCCGAAAAGGAGAAATTTTCAATTACCCGAAAGCGAGGCTGAGCAGACTAAGCTTCGGTCTGGTTACCACCGTCCCTGACCCGACCCCCGCCCCAACCCATCCTTCCACGTCCACGACCATAACCTCTTCCACCGCTGTACCCACGCCTTCCACCTCCACCATTGTACTCGCCACCTCTTCCGCCTTGATATCCACTACCTTTGTAAGAAGCATAACCTCATTCACCAACATTCCTCACAAATGCATTCCAAATTTAAAACAAAACTATAATGAGTTATTGCATCAAATTTCATGTTGGGATGCACCAAGGAAGAAGAACGATGATGTGAGTGAAGATATAGAGGAACCATTGAGAGGATAATGCTCGCTATAGAAATTGATTTATCACTGTGGAGTGTCCTATATCTTTCAGAACTTATTAGTTGAAGATTACTCCACTTACCCCGATAGCCCCAGCCTCGACCCCTTCCACGTCCTCTACTCCAGTTTGAATATCCACCACTGTTGTCTGATTAGGACATCAGTGAAATTACTTAATAGTCAGTCACATTCACTATCAAGTATCAACAAAGAGCCACACAGCTACTTTCCCACTGATGTTAGATGATATCAGTCTCTTGGAACCACTGAAGGGAACATAAAACTTCCAAATATGAATTAATGGCATAACCTACACCTCCAGCATTCAAACACATCAATACCTTGGTAATTCTCTTGATAATCTCCTTGGTAGCCATCTTGGTATTTTCCTTGATAGCCCATTTGGTAGTTTCCTTGATAGCCACCTCGGTAGTTTCCTTGATATCCTCGTTGGTAGTTTCCTTGGTAATTTCCGTATCCACCTCTTCCCCTGCCTCCCCCTCTACCTCCGCCACGCCCTCTCCCTCGACCATAAGAATCTACAACAAGTTATAACAAAGATAAAATCAGCTACACAGCCTACACTACCATCTTTAAGATATCAAAGTCTCACAGATAGATATCACCTTCATTGTACGTATTGTACGGAGCACGGGATTGTCTAGGTTGCTGTGTCTGATTCTGAGGTTTTGACTGTTGTGCCAGAGATGGAGCTTGGTACCTGACCACAAACATTAACAATTATTGCAGCTAGATTCCATGGAAAAAAGCAGGCCACATAAATAAAATGCCACAACAATAATGCGAGTAACATGAAAAAGAAACAGAAATGTTCAAATCAAACAGGAAATACTAAATTCAGCAACAGAGTGTTTCCAAGTCCCAAAGTACACAAGTGGTGTGACAAAGTAAAACTCACCCGGGAGAATCTTTGTTTAGCTCTCGCATAGACAGAGTGATTGAGATCATGGAAACATGACGCGTCAACTCCACACTGCATCAGATTGTAACACACTTATAAGCCATGCAGAAGACAAAAGCAAATGAACCCAGGAAATTTTTGAACAGCAAAGTACAAGACACTCACGGCATAAGACCCTCCTCCATAGGTTCCCAGACATCGGTTATGCTTACAGAGCTGATGGCAACGTCCTGATGCAACCGCGGCAGGTTTTTCTGCAAGCAATGATCAAAACTCTCAGTAAGACTTGAAAAAAAGGACAAAGCGGATAGAGACGACACTCTAACATAACATTATTAAGGTGAGCACCGACTTTTAGAATCTCTGTGATAGCCACCGTCTTGCTGATTGCCTGCCCCATTGCCTTCATCACGATCTCTTTAACACGTTTCTCCTAAAAACATTTAGAAAAAAAAAGAGAGAAAAAACAAAAACAGAGGATCGTAACTTATCAGAAGGCAAAGGCATTACACAAGTTTTAGCCTTCGATTACAAAACGAACGCTGTTCGCTTCAGTAGAACACACTGGAAATGGGACTAAAACGCAAGAGAACTGCTAAAAATTTGAAAACCGTTAACCGACACAAAAAACATTCGAAAAGTGAACTATAGTGAGGACATGCTACGCAAAATTTCCAGTCATCTCCACCGACACAGAGACAACAAAAACACAACAAACCAGTAAAGAACAAATAAAGCGAAGAAACGGTAACCCATTTCATAAACTGATAAATACTATCCCATTTCCGACAAATATCTCATCCCACAACTCAATCACGATTTCAGTAACACCTCGATGGAAATCAAACATGTGGACAAATACACAACCGAAGGGGAAAGTGTGTGTGAGAGAGAGAGAGAGAGATTAGAACAGTACCTGAAGAAGACTGGTCGCATAGCTGACGTAGTTGCGGATAAGGCCCTGGCTAGTGATACGTATCTCATTCTCGTTTATGGGAGAATCCGGCTTCGGCTTTTCAACTTTCTGGTATCGATCCATGGTGATGCTTGGTATCGAAGAACACCTAGCTTCTAGAGAGAGAAAGCTCTGGTTTGAGAGGGATTTGGTAGAGAGAAAAACCCTAAATAAACCCTAGGATTCGCAGATGTTGAGCATGGGAAAAAGGCCGAGACAAAGGGCCCAATACGATTGTTCAATAAAATTTTAAATACGGGTCCGATAAAGGGACCAAAAGGGTTCCTGCTTGCCGGGATTGACACGTGTCCACCTTGGTATTTCTGTAAATTATAAATCTATGGAAAATGTTTTGGTCATTTTCACAGGACCCTTATTTAGTAGTGAATTTGTTCTCGAGTCTCTTAAGTGGAAAAAAAAAAGCTTGAACTTGCCGCTCTGCTCTCCGATAATGGCGAACAATCCATCGCAGCTTCTTCCATCAGGTCGGATTTCGCTCTCTCTCTCTCTCTATCTTTTACGGGATTTTGTGGCAGTGTTCTTCTCTCTCAAACTTTCTTGAGAAAATTGAACTGACGGGAAAGTTGATCTGTTATTTGGTCTCGATTTCGTGCGGGAATCGTGTGGCTTTGCAGAGTTAATCGACAGGTGTATAGGATCGAAGATATGGGTGATAATGAAAGGAGACAAGGAGCTTGTGGGTACTCTCCGAGGGTTCGATGTGTACGTCAACATGGTCCTTGAGGATGTCACCGAGTAGTAAGTATGATTTAGGGTTCTGGCTCATCATTTTGGTTTTTAATCTTCTCTTTGTTTCCTGAGTAGTTTTTTTGTGGGTTCGCGAGCACTGTTTGGTCTTATTTGATTTGCCTGGCCTGATTTGTTTGGCGGAACCGATATTAGGGTTTTGGAAGGTTGGGAATCGGACTGAAACACTGAAATTAACTCTTGCATCTATAATCTTGTGTTGCAGTGCTTCGTGTTTATGTGGTTCTTGACTCAATGATGTATGATTGATTGTCTCCAACTGGTGGTTTTTAGATTTCAGTCTCTTCTTATTGGATTTTATCAGATTGTATGGATTGATTTTGTACATGGATTAGCAGTTGTCGTCTTGTCGAATCATTATAGGGAAACAAATTGAAAAAGAATCCAGCTTTTGGACTTCATTCCCTGATTCTAAGGTTTTCAGAAAATTCCCATTTTTTGTTCAGTTTGGAGCAGCAATACTTTTCTGGAACTTTCACCAAAGCACTGCAATGCCGAATGTAGTTCCAGCTTATGTCATTCCATTTGTGGTTAAAGTTGTTCAGATCAAATGCTCGAGGAGCGTAACTTTCTGTTTTCGGATTATATAGATGTGTGAATACTTTATACATGGTTTCAGTTATGTGGGTTTTGTTGCTTGTTTATCGATCTGTTGCCTTGAAAAAAAAACTGCTGCTTTGTTTTCGTTCCGGTTGAGAACTAGAAACATGGCATTTTTCTGGTGAATCTGAATCATGTCATTCACATGATCTCTTTATCAATATTGCTGATGCATACTTGTTTTTATCTTATTGCTGGCTTTCTAACATTAAGTTCCACCGTGCAGTGAGATTACATCGGAAGGGAGAAGGATCACGAAGCTCGATCAGATTTTGCTCAACGGAAACAATATTGCCATTGTAAGTAAACCATCATTATCAGCTTTTCTCTGAACCTGGGTGTCTAGTATTCCACATCTCTGCTATGAACAATCCGACAAACATCTGCAAGGAACTATGCATTGGATAACTGCCAGCCATGTGAATTGTTTTTGCTGTTTTTGAAAGAACCCTTTTGTCAATTTTGACTGCCCGAGATGCTAACAACACGATTCCGATGCAGCTGGTTCCTGGTGGCTCTCCAGAGGCAGAATGAGATCGTGATCTTTTATTCATCTCGATTGTTTGGTAACGCGGGAAGAGGTGTAACATCGGTAAGAGTGATCAAAGCTTCAATAGAAACTACGTACTAGTCGCTGGGTTCATCTTGTGTAACGGAGAGATTGCTTCATGTTTGAAGATTTGCATTGCAAATCAATGAAAGCTTCACGTTTATTGGCTTCAACACTTGTTGCTTCTGTTTGGATTCACGTGGTCTGCAACACAAGTGATGGAGATCCACGGACACAACATAAAAGAGTCATTCTTGATGTTTCTTGTTAGCCATATTTGAAGACAGCATAACTATAACCTGTAGATGTGGCTTCGGACCAATGCACAGAGACATTGGGGATTGCATGAGTAATATCTGGACGATGATGATGCACTTTAATTATTCATTGACTTGCGACAGAATGTGAGTTGTGGGAGAAGAAGCCACGTGGCAGTTTCCGTCGTTTGGTTGAACTCGTTAGTGTTATCATTGAAGTGATATATATATATTCCATACCATTAATGATTACGTTTTTTTTAATTAGAGATTTGAATGAAATAACAATGAAGATCGCATTAGAAACATTAATGATCTTATTGAGCCTAATATAACTTTGAGTTTTGTATTATTAATATTCTTAATTATTATACCTAATTTATGCGACATATATAAACTCTAATACAGATATATACCTTATGTGATTGAAGCTAGTGTTGTATATTATGCACAATTAGACAAATATCTATAAATCCATGTGTACGTGCATATCAGATACCGAGATTGCATGGAATCTCACGGGTTTTAGTTTTGTTTATTAATTTTTTTATTATGAAATGTAGGATCAACATTCGCTACACACACACATGTATGTATGAATATCATAAACCGCTCTTCATTTATGTATATGGACCGACACAAAATAGAAGTCCATGTTTCATTACATTTGGTGTGAAATCTATATGCGTTAGTTTCGCCGAGAACAATGAAATTCATATATATATATTCTATTTGGTAGGTAAGAAATTTAATATTTTGCTTCCTTAGGTGAAGCTGGTAGAGATCATTTATTTATTTTTCCATTTTGGTTGGATGGTCTATGAAATAATAATTGTATAAGTACATAATTTAATTACATAAATTTTAAAGTTTTTTTAGTCAAATTTTAAAGGCTTTTATATCTGCACCATGTATGTAGGATGATAAACATTTAACAGATGTATTAACTGCAAAAAAAAAACTATACAACTTATTCTAAAATAAACTAGAAGTATATCAACTATCACAGTTTTAAATAATATTCAAACTCTTAACGATTAATCTTTTTCGATATACCCACACAAAAAAAAACATTTAATTGTCTGTTATATAGTTGTTGTCCATAGCTGAGGATCATATGTAGATAGTCGTGTTTTATATTTAAAATGTATGATTTATTATACATAAGTAAGACTACTATTAAAAGAAAAACGACTGTGCATGAAACAATCAATTATTTTAATTTTTACGTAAAATATTATTTATTATGTGTTTTTAGATTGGTCTTTTTTTTTTATGTAATTTTAGATATTTCAATATTAAATGGTATCATTTTCCACAAATTTTTATTTTGATAATGCATTATTTGATTCCATCCATATAAAGGCATATATTTTCCTTTTTAATAAAAAATAAAATCTGGTCACGTAGTCTTGCTATTGTGTAAATCAAGTTTTGTTTAATAAAATATTAAAAAAAAGTTAAAACCATCAATTTCAAAGAAAATGGTTATTAAATGAAAAAAAATGTTTTAAAATTTTTTTCGTAGAGGATAGTATTTAAATTTCTTTTTTAAAAAAATCTAAAACAATCGATCCATGCCCTTTCATATCTTGCATATTTTTATTTTCCTCTACAAAACATTTATGATAACATACTTAACAAAATGCTAAATCGATTTCTTTTTTATTTCTTTTTTTCTTCTGTATTTTGTTTTTTCATACAATTTGATAAACCAACACATATGATAACGGGTCGATTTTTCTAATTTTCAATCTTTAATATGATCTATTTATTTTTAATTCATCGGAAACAAAATATAAAATTTAATAATAATAATAATGTAATAAATAATGCCCAAAATAACTCAATAATGAATATCTTTATAAAAAAACTTAATGATGAAATTGTTTTAATGGGTTACCGTACCAAATGCATTGAACAATAATGCCTGCCGCGTGGACCAAATCACCGGCGTGTTTCTCGGACAAAGCCGTCGCCGGCGAGCGGATATTATTTTTTTACCAGGCAAAAAGTAGAGCAGCTGTCCCGGCACGTGATCTAACTGGCCTCTAACACGTGCTAGAGAGAGAAACGGGAGAGGCAAATAGAGAGAGAGAGACTTTAATAAATGTACCTTCTTGTAAACAGAGGTGAAAATTGACGTTTATTTTTTCGTCGTTATTAATATAACCTAATAAGTTTTTATATTCTATTAGCAAGCTAATATTAGTATTCAATTTACACATAAAAAAATCAAAGTCAATCATATGTGATTATATTTGAATATTTATAAAGTGATCGAATGTGATTTTTAAAATTAAATTGAAAACATTAAGATGAAATTTTTTAAAAATAATGTCTTCGAAAAATAACTTATCTACATCTTTGTTTGTATCTTGTTTTAATCACAATATTCGAACTCTTATAACTAAATATTGGATTTCATTTTTTACGTTGCGATCAAAGAGCTATGGAAAAACATGCATTTTTTCCATATGAAAAAAATACTTTGAAGGATTTATTTTATTATTTTCATATCTATTTTTTTTGTTTAATTTGTTCAAAACGCTTAATATTTCATAATTCAAAATTTTCATTTACCTTATTTCAAACACTGTTCGTATTCACTTTTTTTTTTAAAAACAATCATTGCAATGTACCCGTTGAAACGCAACATAAAATGACAAATAAAATCGTCGGCATTAATATGATATCCTCTTATTTATCAAAAAAAAATATACATATATATATATATGTATATATATATATATATATATGATATCCTCTTCGATTGAACAGATGGATAAGTGCAGTCTTTTATCCCTTTATTTTGTTAGATAAAATGTTGTACTAGCCCTTTCTTTGATTTGATTGGATACATGTTGTACTAAACCTTTATTTGAAAAAATAACAATTAACATTCTGTTTTCAACTTAATATTATTTTGTTTTTTAAGAAAACTTTACATTTTATATTTTTATGGAATTATATTCAATTTATATGATATTTTGATTTCATTTTTTTATCAAAATATTTATTTAATCTTTTGGAATTTTATTATTTTTATATTTGTTTTAGATTCTTTTGAAAATTCCATAATTTAGTTTTAAAATATCATATTTAATGTGATACTAAATAAAATTGATCTAAATATAATTATATGTTGTTACATTCCCTTTAATTCGATTTAGTTTCATATATCCGAACTTAAACCATAAACAATCATAAAACCATTTTGTTTTTCTTTGGATATCGGGTTTTAAATATTGGGACCACCGTCCAATCTTCCTCCTATATAATAACTCCTCCGTCGTAGCTTTTCATTTACTCCTCTCTCCCTTCGTCCTCTTCTTCCAATTCATTATCCCCGAACACAAGAGAACGATCAAGATCCTCTGGGAAAGAAACATAGAGAGAGAGAGAGAGGAGCAGACATTAATGGCAGATTCAAAGCTTGTATTCTCTGCTTCGGCATTGTTACTAACAATGCTCTTCGTCGGCGTCAACTCGTCAAGCTCAAGGTACTTACATGGTTCTTCATTTTCTTATAAGTCACTAATCAGAATCATTTGATTCCCTTACTGATCTTAATTAAGTTTTAAAATAGTGGTTTCTTAATTAATTTGATGGGTTATTTTATTTATATCATATTGGCTCGTAAAATGCAACATAAATATAGAGGACTCGGGTTTTCGTTGGAGATTTCAGGTCTAATGAAACATGGCATGAAGATGCAGTTGAGCATCCACATGAAGTTGCTGCCACCGTCGACATGTGAGTTCTCCTGTTACATATATATATATATATATATATATATATAGGATATTATTTAACATTTATAATATATATATATATATATATTAGGTATCTAAGTTTTTATTCGCATTAGGGAATTAATGCGTAATATATATATATATATAGAGTATACATGACTGGATTAAATCTCTTGCGCATTGTTTTTTTTCTTCTAAATAATGATATAGTTTTATTTTAATTATGGGGGAATTGGGTGAATCGTATTTATGGAGGCCGGGTTCACGTGATGTTCCTGTAAGAATTTGACACGTCACTTTCATGTCTTGGTCAAATGGTCAGTCCATAGCCACATCTCATCTTTCCTTCTTTTTCTCCATTTCTTAACTTTTGATAATAATTTTATTTAGTTAGGTTTTGATAAAAGATAATTTAACTGTGTTAGATGAATGTAGTGCCCGGTATTTCAACTTTTTCTTCAATTATGTATATATATAAATTCACATATACTCAAAATTTATCATCCAGTTTTTAATTAAATTAAAATCTAAAGTTTATGAAAAACAATTACTAAAAATATATATAGGTTCATTTGATTGGGTTTTCTGCAGTTTTTATATTTGATTTGGATTTTCTAAATTTGATTAAAGTAAATTGTATTTCAGCATTTTTTTTAACCGAATTTGATTAAAATACAATCAATTATATTGAGAAACTGAGAGAGGGAAACCATTGGTTGATCAAACAAAAAATCCGCGTGGAATTGGCAGAAGGAACGTGCTCATGAAACAATTTCACTCGTACATTTTTATCACATTTTGTTTTAATATATATATATATATATATATATATATATATATATAGCATTTTATTGTATTTTCAACTCGATAAAGATTACATTAACGTTAAATACGAATGTCGACTTAGTTACACATTTGTAACGCAGATATACGTTGTGTATATAGTTAGATATTTAGATTTCACATGGACCATATATATAAAGGTGATCTATTCGAGTTAGATCGATCCACGCGGCTTTTCCATTAAATGCAGCATATATGTGTCCATACGATAATTGAAACTAATATTTTGATAAACTTGGATATATTTTATTTTATTTTTATTTATTTTTTGATACTAGAATCTATGGAATTATTGGAGACAATGGTCCACAACATGCGTAATGTTTTTTTTTTATTTACGTAGAAGAGTACAACGTGTTGTGTTCCAATACCTAATCTTTTTAATCGCCATGCACATGCCCATGCAGTGCATTCCGTAAACTCTCTATTCACAATTTTTCCTTCTTTCACATAATATTCCAAGATATTATCCATATGAATATAAAAATCGATCCATCTAAAATTAATCATATAGAAAAATATCTTTTGGACTCTGCATAATTATAATATATTTTTAGTAATAAATTTTTATTTAGTATTATTATCATTTATCTATATTAATAAATTATAATTGTTATTACTTATATATGTTTTAATATTGGATTCCAAGTATAGTTTGAAATACAAATTTCTTTCCTTTTTCAGGAAATATCTGTATTTTTTTGGTGAAAAAATATCTGTATTGTGTATATATATAATATCATGTAAGATATAAAACATTAATATATAGTTCTAATAATATTGTTCTATATTGTAGAATAATATATTTATTGTGGATGTCCCTAATAAGTCATCACATTCAATGTTTGCGTTTTTATGCCACTGACGCGTAAAGTAAAAAATAAATGCTGAAAAAGAAAAGTAAAAAAAATGTACGGAACGGAATCATATGTATTAATTATTATGCAAGTAAGAACGTATTCACCCCAAAATAACCCTTCATCTTGGCAAATATTCCCATTCTGTCCCGACGAATTCCAAACCGCCGTTTTTCCGCGAAAATTAAAATCCATCAAATTCAGACCACTTGTCCACCATCTCCATCCAAATTTGTCTACCCTAAGAAGTTCGTTTGATTTCCGAAACTAGTCAATTTCTGGATTTCGGTCGGAATTTTCTGATTTTCCATTGCAGGAGCATCCGTAACAGCACCGAGCGGAGAAAGTTAGGGTATTTCTCGTGCTCGACCGGGAACCCGATCGACGATTGCTGGAGATGTGACCGGAAATGGCATCTCCGGAGAAAGCGTCTCGCCGAATGCTCCATTGGATTCGGCCGCAACGCCATCGGAGGCCGCGATGGTCGTTACTACGTCGTGAGCGACCCGGGCGACGACGACCCGGTTAACCCGAGACCCGGAACCCTCCGTCACGCCGTGATCCAAGACGAGCCTCTCTGGATTGTCTTCAAGCGGGACATGGTCATAACCCTAAAGGAAGAGCTCATCATGAACAGCTTCAAGACCATCGATGGCCGTGGAGTCAATGTTCACATCGCGAACGGTGCTTGCATCACGATCCAGTTCGTGACGAACATTATCATTCATGGGATTCATATACATGATTGTAGGCCTACCGGTAACGCCATGGTTAGGAGCTCGCCGTCGCATTACGGGTGGAGGACGATGGCCGATGGTGATGGGATTTCGATTTTTGGGTCGAGTCATATTTGGGTTGATCACAATTCTCTGTCGAATTGCGCCGATGGGCTCATCGATGCTGTGATTGCTTCCACTGCAATCACCATCTCCAACAATTACTTCACTCACCATAACGAGGTAAGTTCAACTTGAGCTCGGATGCTTACTTGTCTCAAAATGGTCGATTCTTTGTGTGAAACATTATGCCAATTACGGGTCGAATTTTCAGATCAACGATTAAGGTTTTGGGCAGTTCTTGATTGATTTGGGGTTGTTTACAGGTTATGTTGTTGGGCCATAGTGATACCTACACTAGGGACAAGGTGATGCAGGTCACTATTGCTTACAACCATTTTGATGCCGAGGTGAAAGATCGCTCGCTCTTAACTTGATCTTGGTTCTCTGAAAACGTCAATCATGGCTACCATCTTATGATCAAAGAACTTATCAACCTCTCAGTAATTTGTAGCTTTTGAAGAAGTATAAACCATTCTCCTTGAAAAATGGTAATGCAGGTGTCGGCATGGATATTTCCACGTTGTAAACAACGACTATACCCATTGGGAAATGTATGCAATTGGCGGAAGTGCTAGTCCCACCATTAACAGCCAAGGCAACCGATATCTCGCACCGACAAACCCTTTTGCCAAGGAGGTATTTTCGTCGATTTCAACCACTTTACTGATATACAATCTTAGGCTATCGATTTGATATAAAAAAAAAGAGCATTGACCTTTCTTGTGTCATCTCTTTGTGCCTGTGCGATGACGACAAAGACCCATATGTTAGCTGCATTTAGAGGATCAAACCGGGTTCTGGAGTTAGGTTCATTCCTCTGCGATGAACTGAACAAAGACTCTGCTCTTTCCCATGTTCACGATGTCTAAGACGACAATGGTAAACTTAGTTGGAATGTGGCAGGTGACAAAGAGAGAGTATGCAGGGCAATCGAAATGGAAGCACTGGAACTGGAGATCAGAGGGAGATCTCTTCCTAAACGGAGCTTACTTCAGACAGTCTGGTGGAGGTGCTGCATCAAGCTATGCTCGAGCTTCAAGCTTAGCAGCCAAATCTTCCTCCCTCATCGGGACCATCACTTCCAATGCAGGTGCTCTTACCTGCAGGCTTGGTCGCCGGTGTTAACCCTTCTTCACAATCTCCGACACAAACAGAGAAAGAAACATGTGAATCTCCTCCCAAACAGTGGATAAAGTAGTAGTAAAAAACCTCATTTTTCTTATCTCCTATTATCCAAACAGAAAAAAGTTCAGCAAAGTCCACTCTTTTCTTGCCTCTCTGGTTACAATGGATGATTTCAATTTAGAAAAAGGTGTGTAGGTGGTGGATCCACGTGGCGGTTTAATGCTAAAGTGGGTCCATATGTGGAAACAGAGAAGAGACAAGATGCAAATGAAGCCATATGGGGTGTTATTATAGAAGAAATAGTGTGTTGTTGGTTGTTAAAAGAACAGAAGGGTGTCTTTTCATTGGCATGTGAGTTTTGTGATTTTTCTGACTCCATTACATAATGGCTTCAGGAAACTGTTCTCTTTGTTTACTTTTTTAAACAAAACTGAGTTAAAAGGTTTATAAAAGATAAATATAACATCACAAGCACCAGTGGTCTAGTGGTAGAATAGTACCCTGCCACGGTACAGACCCGGGTTCGATTCCCGGCTGGTGCAATTTTTAATTTTACGATTTCACTCACATCCTTGGTTTGATTCTTTTTTGGGTTGGGGACCCCCGGTTGATTCTTTTTTTCTCAAATTACTGGTGTGAGAGACAAGTTATTTATGAGGTTGAAAAGTAATCGAATCTTTTAATCTTTTTTCTTTTGGTGTATATAAAACTAATATTAGTTTTAAAAAAACAAACTATGCCGCACAAATCTCGATGAAATTTTTGTCAAAAATTTACAAAATTCCATATTTTTGTGTCAAAATCAATAAATTTATATTTATTTTTGGGAATTTAAAAATTCTGGTATTAATATGATAGCGATAATTTTGTTGAGAGTTTTACATAATCATATTATTCCATAAATATTTATTACAAAATAATATGTCATGTCTTCTAACGAAGAAGATGTATATTGGGAGGGGATGCGGAATTGGCGGTAGACATGGAAGCGGGAGCTGGTAGGCAACAACAGAAGTTGGGATCACGAGCTCCAACACATCCTCCCAATGAGAATCCTCTTTTAACGCATTCACCGTTGCAATCTTTCAACCACTCGCACGGTCCAACGCATGACAGTGTTGGCTGCGCATCTGCTTTTCCTAAAAATAAATAAATAAATAATAATATTAATAAAACCTTTTTTTTTTTTTTTAACTCATTCCATACTATAATACAGCGAGGAAACGCAACATTCATTTATGTCTTATGTGAAATCATATAGTTAATGATATTTTTTTTATGAAAACGAAATTTACCCGAAATCTGGAACAGACAGATTGTTGCACATATGAACAGTGACAAGACTCCCTTGTAAGCCATATCGTCAAACTCTTTTGTTTACTTATAAAATGAAAAACATAAAGTTGTGATGTTGTTTTTGTTTTGAGAGTGTTTTTAAGATTTCTATTGATGCGTTTAAATAGTCCAGTTTCATTACATAAGATACGAGGCAATTTGAGTAATTTTTCATTTCTTAGAAGAAAATATTATTTGTCCTTTTTTTTAAACTAAAATGGAAATAAATTAATCGTTGATTAGCCATTGCCACAAATGTTAGATTTTTGGTTATGTTATGTAACATATTGTCATATTTAAAATAGTAATAATATTGCCATTATCGGCACTCCTCGGATTTTTGCCCACATTGGAGAACATAATCTCAAAAATCTTGTTGGGCCAACTTGGATTTATTTGGTTTTTTTTCTTTACCGTTAAAGATTTGTTAGTTGTACATGTAAAGACATGATAATGTTCTTCTTGGGGAGTGATAATACATGGTGTGTATATATACACATTATTATTTTCTTTTTTTTGTGTAATCTTTCTGTATTATAATACGGATTGTTTTCTGAATTTGAGTAAAAGAATTGAATTTAAACAAAATGGACTGTTTCTAAGCCCATTACGTTTTGGGTCTATTTGGGCTGCATGTTATTGGTCCACGAATAACAGTTCAAATGGGGATGATTTTATTAATGGGGGAGGAAAACAAGGATCAGGGATGGCGTTGAGGGTAGCAGCAGCATGTCTCGTAATTGGGTTTGGTTCCGGAGCAGACTCCTCCTTGAACGAATCCTCTTCTCACACACTCCTCTCCGCAGTCGGGAATATTCCGGCACAGTCCCAAACATTGATCCCCTTCCACCTCTCCTACACACATATACATATATATGCACATAATATGAATGATATATATGATAACGTTAAAGCCGACGACCACACTTACAACTTGTAATTTTATGGATGTCCAAGAAACCAAACATTTTTTTTGGTTCTCGGTTCGATTCTTTCGGTTTAAAAAAAAATATAATCGATTCGGTTATGCATTTCGATTCGATTCTTTACGGGGTTTTTTAATAATTTGTTCTAAAGAAACTTTTGATTCTTGTGGTTATTTTGATATATTTTTTTATTTATCATATTTGATCTTTTGGATACAATTGATATATGTTATATTTGTGTTCACCGAGACTAAATGCTCACCACTATATAAAAAAAAAACATAAACAAGGAATAGTAGAAAAAAAAAATACCTGAAATGAAAAGCAAACAAATGAGAGAAAAGACGACAAGAGAATTGACGCTTTTGCTAACCATGCTTTCAGTCTTTTTTGTTTTTTAATTTAATTTTGTAATGTGTGTTTCTTGATACAATGTGGTCACTATTTATACAAAGGAGTAATCATTGACGAGGACACACGTTTTAGGACAATTTTAGACACTCCTCGTGATTTCCCGTTTTTGGGCGTAAGAATCTCATCCCCAAGATTTTATTGGGCCATCTGGTTTTTCCTGAAACGGAAATGTAAATAAAATCGCTGGTTATAGATGGAAAACATGGTAAAATTCTTGTTCGGGAGAGTGGCAAATACATTGTACCCATTATGTTTTTCCTCTTATGAATTCAATCCTTTTTAGCCTTACATTACATAATTTATTTTTTAAAATAAAATGGACCTTTCCTAAGCCCATCTCGCCTAAAGAGAAGCTTTTGCAACATTGAAAATGTAAAACTGTCTAGTAGCGTACATTTTGGCCCTATATCGTAAGAAAGTCGCATGAATCTCATGTTGTGAAATTTAATTTGACATTTTTTACGAATTTATTTTGTTATATCGTTGATTTGCCAGCTCCGCAAATAAAGCTAGTTCATGAGCGAGCAAATTATACTATTAATTTCAACCTTTTAGTAATTTGCAAATTACCCAACAATTTCATGGGCCCACTAGAGAAATATAAAAAGACTCAACAGTTAAACGTTCACCCAAGCCCAAGCCCAACCCTACCTCTATCTTTATTTCGCGTTTTATTACCAGTATTATTGCAGATAGTCAGTATCGTTACCAATTACCATATCCCAGCGATTTCAGATCGCAAAATATAGATTATAAGGGGGATATAAGGGTATATATGTAAAATACTGCAAAATATAAGATTAGAAGGGCAATTTCCTGATTTTTATCATGAATCATATGATGTTTGGTTGCAAGAGATCTTAGGTTGTGAATTCGTACGCAGATGGAACGTCGTGAAGCGGGTGGCCCTTCAGGTTACGCTCCACGATCTTCCGTGCCAGTGGGACTTGCTTCCCCACCGCGAAGATGAAAGCCTTCCCCTTTCCTCCGGCACCTCTCGCCGTCCTTCCGACCCGTCGGACATACTCACTCGGATCGCGTGGAAAGTCAAAGAGCACGACATGGTCCACCCCGGAAAAGTCTATCCCACGGGAAGCTCTGGCACATGATTCAGAAGAGATTTTCTCATCGCCATTTTCTGACATTCGATGCAATAGATTCATAGAAACAACATCTCTGACCCAGAGGTGAAGAGTATACCTACCTATCCGTGCAAACCATGAAGAGCGAGCTCCCTTCAGGCTGAGATGAAGTGAACTCTTTCATGTTCGAAAGCCGTGATTCTTGCGCCAGAGCCGCGTGAAAAGGTAGGACCCTGAACTGACTTTCTTTTCTGTCGGACCTCTTTAGTATATTCTCGACTTTCCTACACGTCTCGATCTGAGAACCATGACGTAAATCAGTCTATAACGCTTTCGAGTTTTAGCTAAATAGCAGTGAGTTTGATGATGATGATGATGGTACTTTATTGCAGAAGATGATGGTTTTGGGAACAGGATTTTCCTCCACAATCTGAAGAAGAGCAGCTTTCTTGTTGACAAATGCAGTCTCTGGAGTTTTCTCAGCCTTATCATCTCCGCTGCAGTCAACAAGAACCTACCACACAACCCAATTTTCGATCATTTGCATGCCAATGAAGTTGAAACAGATAGCTGATAAATAGAATACGCAATTTACAATTCACAGCAGATTCTGCCACTGCGGTTGTTTGTTATAGAAAAGCATGCTCGCATAAACAAAGCTAAAGAATTACAGCAAGAGGATAGATACCGACCTCTTCAAGGGCAGGGCTTACGCGGTGAACACGAGGTCCCATTACTGCTTCACAATCAGGGAATACTTCAACAAGTTTGTTGTATATCGCCAGAGGTAAGGTAGCCGTAACAAACAGATATTGTGCAGTAACAGGTGAAGAATTGATCAGACTTTGCAGCGTAACCTCAAAGTCCTCGTCACCAAAGAGTATATCCACCTCATCCAAGACAACACTGCGAGAAAGTTTACCACCGATGTCACAACCGCTCGCTCGACAGAGGTTTATGGAAATAATCAGCTCATAGAACATGTTCTGTAAAGTCTGCTTCATTGCAAAAACGTATATTACCATCTCAAATTTGTCAACTCTAAGTGTCCTTCCTTAATTAGGAACATGAACCGCCCTGGTGTAGCTATCAAAACATCAACACCTTGCTCCAAATTTTCAAGCTGAGTTTTTTGTTTAAACCCACCCGTCACGACCATCGAACGGAAAGGGACTCCAAACCTTGAAAGTGAACGACAGTTACCAAGAACCTGCAAAAGTTTTCAACAATATAAAAAAATATAAATTCTTCTGAAAACCATGCGGGCTGCAAAGCAAGATAACAAGTGGCTGTATCCTCGTATTAAGCTCAAGACAAGAAACAGTTTGATTGCAAAAGCACGGTCCAATACAGAGAAAATCAACCTGAGAAGCCAACTCTGCAGTGGGTACTAATACAACAACACGAGGGCACCGGGATGAAGACTTGCTCTGTCCTTGAATCTCTTCTTCCCTAAGACGCTGAATAACCGGTACGAGATACGCCAGCGTCTTACCTGATCCACTTTGATCAGCTACAATACAGCTCTTTCCAAATGAAGCCATCGGTTCCTCCCCTAGCCTAACCACGCCGTTTTTGAACACCCACACTCCCGACATGTTGTCCTCTTTCGCTAGATTTTGTGTGTGTGTGTGCGGTATGGTTATGGAGATTTGGATATGGGATATCACAGGTTGTTGGAGGGGTGGATATATATAAGATGGAGCTGTACAATTAAATTCTTGGACTGCCATAATAAATTATATGTGTCTTTCCCTCAATAACAGGAGCAAAGGCCAAAGCCTGGAATCATAAAAACGTTGCTGATATTTTGTTAGCATTCAGGAAAATTATACATTTCAAGCAAACGTGTCAGTAATTAGAAACTTTATCAAGAAGCAACAATGTCGCTACACCTGAATATGTGAAGCGCGAATAAAATTCTGCTCTTTTAAGGATTTTATCATATAATCACTGCACCCTAGTTCCCGAAATGCTTTTCGGCTGAAAAAGTCAGTCTCACTGGTACTGATGAATTTGCTGCCTCTCTTTTCTTCAATCGGTCTCTCCCTCGAAGTTGCAACAGAACGCCTATCACCCCAACCCCTCGAGTTACTAGCAGAACCTTTACCGGACGAAGTCTGCACTTCATCTCCCTTGATATCAGTACGTCTCCGAGAATCCGAAGCCTCTTCAAAAGCTTCATCAGATCCATCCAACGTGCTTAACTCTTTTGGCTCCCTATCTTCCCATGGTCTAACGAATCTTTCAACCTTTCTTGGCTCTACATATTCTTTTTGTTCAGTAATGGCACCCTTCACCAACTTCTTCCTCATGTAATCCAGAATGGAAGATGAACCAAAACTATCTTCTGCAAAATGCTCCTCGTTATCAGAGACGGTATCTTCGCCCTCGTCGTCTCTATGTATCACAGACTGCTTCTTCCGTGATGCCCTTCCAACAAGAGCTTTCACTTTCTGAGCTTTTAGTCTACCGAAACTCGCAGCGACTCCTCTTGAACGCGAACCATTCCTCGGAATTTCTGCCATAACTCAAAGGATTCAAACTTCATATGATAAAAAAAACACTAGACGCGATTCCTGATATCACCAATTGAACAAAAGAACAAGCATTTCCACTCCTACAGAGTCGAATTGCGCAAAAATCAATTACCTGACGGAATGGAAGAGAGCGCATCATCGGGAGAAGAGAAATCATCCTCCTTGTCGTCGTCTCCTACGACGATGACTCTATCTCCGGTGGAATGGTCAACAAGCTCATACGAGCCCGGACTTTCCAGAGGCCGCCGAGTGTAACCCGCTCTTGCCACCACTGCTCCGCCGTGGCGACGGAGCCGCAAGATTGGTCTCCAATTTCCGAGGGATTCTCTCGACGGAAAAGTGAGAGACGGCGGCGGAGCTCTCGCCAGCATCTTGTGCAAGTCGAAGCTTCTACGATTTGAGTCACTGTTTCTCTTGCCCGGCAACGCGAGAGGGATAAAAGAGACGATATTTCCAAATTTCAGATATTTAATTTCAAGAAAAAGAAAAAGAAAATTAATTATATCACCCGGTTCGGTTTGCATTGATTTTTTTTCGGTTGGGATATGAAATTCTAAATGCGAATAGGCCCAAATAACTGAAAAGGGCCTAGGCCCAAGACATAAGGCTCAAATGACTACAAAAAAGCCTTAACGAGTTACGGGAACTTTTGGGATGGCGTTTCAGTTCGAAAATTTAGTTCCCGTCCGAAACGAGAGATCGAATTGGACTGAATTGAACTATTTTATTTTGATACAATTTTTATATTATCCATTATCAAATAAACTGAATCCGATAAATATCGAATTGGACTGAACTGAATTGTTTTATTTTATATTATAATTTAATATGATTTTTATAAAACAATAAATATCGAGAAAACCGAAACATCCACATTTATTTTGGGCGAAGATGAATTTAGATTATATATATGTGTGTGTAGGGGATTTGATTATTTACTTCTTTAAAGATCCATCCATCTCTGAAGTTACTTTTATCGGTATGTAATTTTACATAGATATATATGAGTAAATTTACAGTCTACAAGAACTGTAACATCAATCAAAATATTCGATCTTTTCCAGAATCAACGTATGGAAGTTATTTTTGATCGAAATATTCGAGTTCAATTAATTTAATATTAAAAATTATATCAAATTAATTTTTTATAGGACTCATTCACGTTTAATTATTTATTATTATATATTATTCAAATCGATTCAATTTTATATTACATAAAAAACCGAAATTATCTCTAATTTTGCAAGGTTTATGACCTAAAATAATTTGTCTCAAATTTAAACTCTTTTAGTACCAAAACAATTGTTTTGGTTTTTGAACTCGATAAATTCTGGTGATATTTTTTCTTAAAAACGTTAAAATATTACCGAATTTGTAAAATATATTTCGTACGATTTTATAACGCTGACGTATATTAACATTTTAAGTTTTTTTTTTAAGTTTTTTTTTTATTTTTGCACACGTCTTTATTGTTTTCAGACCATAGTATTTATTTGAGTAGATATACAAAATAAATGGTATTTATGATATGAATGGTAATATAAATTGATATATCTTACATATAAAGATTCTCGCTAAACAATTTTAATGAAAGGCTTATCTTTCCCTTTCATGAAAAATTACATTCGGATTGGTCTAACGCTTTAACCGCACGTGTTCCTTCTATGTCGTGTCTCCATGAGACAGAAGGGGTTGAACAGCGTGCCGTTTTGCGGGCTCGGACATCAGTTGTGTGTCGTTTTTCAGCACATTTGAGAACTGGCAGAGCGCTGTATTAATTTACGTTCCCGGTGGGAGAGATCATATGATCAAACGCGCAAGTAAAAGAGCGGAAGAGGCCGATCGTTCGATAAGATGCTTATGTGGGGAGACATGGCCACGAGGATGGCGTTTGCTTCATTTTCTCCTGCTGTTTGCATCGCCAAGAGACCCGACAGGAGGAGTAACTGTACGAGGAGAGCTCTCGGGATGGTCAAATGCAGCGCCGTCGGAGCCGCCGGCGGACGCGGCGGGGTAACCGTCGGAGACGCGGTGTTCTCAGTTACTACGTCGTCTAAATGCGACGTCGATTATCTGGGTCAGAGCACCAAGGGAGATTTGAATCTCAAGCTGGATTCTCTTCAGTCTTTTGGTACTCATATTCTTCGATTTTCCTCACTGGTTCTCGGGTGTTGATTCCGAGGTTTGAATGGCGGGATGCGCAAACATTGGGATTTTCTCAGAGTTGTCTCGGAACTCGATTTTGGGTGTTGTTCGAAGATTCGGATGATACATTTTCTCGCTGTTTTTGAGCAAAGGCCGAATCTTTACGGGACCCTTTTGCTTGAATTGTCTATTCAGATGATGTTTTTTTGTTGCTGGATATGAGAAAAAAAATCCTGGATTATGAGAGAAAAAAATCCTTACTTTTTCCGTGTGTGTTGCAACAGTCGCTAGTTTCGAAATTATAACTTTTGGACGTATTTATGTAGGACTTGAAGGGCAAGCAACTTTGAAGGGCCCAATCGAGGAGGTAGCTAGGACAGAGACTCAAGCAGCAGAAAATTTGATTAGAGACCTTGGTATCCGAGTTCGTAATCTGTTCCTGTTCTTCTTTGTTATACATCTTTGGTGCTTTTGGAGGTTGATAGAGTTGATTTAGTTACTTGTTTATATGACCAGATTTTATGGGAGAGTTCCTCCTTCTGTTGATCCCTTCCTTCACTGGTTTTACATGTTTGTTGACCATACTGCAGGCTCCTTTTTCAGCACGAAACTATCCCACCGGTATATTTTGTAGTCGCACATTGAATCTCCGGTCCATTAGCGCGATTGGATATGACATGGATTACACCTTGATGCATTACAACAGCAGGAAGATTAGATGTTTTTTCTCCTGGTAAAATGCATTCATAATGTTTGTATCTGACATGAATCTATCACCTCACTCCAGGCTTGGGAAGGGAGGGCTTATGACTACTGCATGGATAACTTGAGGAGTATGGGGTTCCCGGTTGATGGGCTTGCTTTTGACCCTGACCTGGTGATAATGTTTATTCATTGTGAAAGTCGAAAGATTCTATATAGTTTTCACCTCCTTCTTCTTTTGCTTATCTCAAGGTTATATCTTTTTTAATTTAGGTTATCAGGGGTCTGGTGATTGACAAAGAGAAGGGTAATCTGGTCAAGGCTGATAGATTTGGCTATGTGAAAAGGGTCATGCATGGGACAAACATGTTATCGAATAGAGCTGTCAGGTATGATATGATTGACGATGTGCAAATCTGTTGGTCGCCATCCAAAGAGGGTGGCCTGTTATATAACTACACTTATGCTTCTTTGTTTGAGCGATAAACTGATTTCTTGATGGTTTTGTATGCTTGAAAGTGAAATCTATGGGAGAGAACTAGTTGATCTGCGCAACCCAAGTCGTTGGGAGTTTCTCAACACCTTTTTCTCTGTTTCAGAGGGTGTGGCTTACATGCAGGTACTTACATTTTTTTATCATGAGTGGTGTCTTGATGTTTTTGTTACTTTAACATGATACCACAATGCTTTGTCTTGGGCATACTTTTGTCTGCCTTGATGTTGTGTAATCCCCCATGTTTTGTTTTTGTCTCTTTTTTTTTTGGAATAATGTTATTGTTTGGCTCTGTTGTGAAGCCGATGAGCAATGATGCCCCCTATTATTTCAGATGGTCGATAGACTGGATGAAGGAGCTATTTCAGCAGATCTCGCCCCACTTGACTATAAGGGGCTCTACAAGGTTTTGTATTCCTAGAACCTAAACTTCATTATATTGAAACTAATGCATTTCTTCCTTAGCTTCTATCTCTATGTTCTCAGGCTGTTGGAAAAGCCCTCTTCAGAGCACATGTTGAAGGGCGGCTTAAGGTTTGATAGTTTCGCCATTCATGTGTTGTTAAATGTTGTAGCCCCTAGTGATTATTAGCTATATATTCTGCAGAATGAGATAATGTCCAGGCCTGATTTATTTGTCGAACCAGATCCAGAACTACCTTTAGCTCTTTTGGATCAGAAGGAGGTATAAATCAGTTGATCTTCGGGTAAAAACGTGCTTCTTATTATGATTCCTTGTGCATAATGTGGTTGTGTCTCCACACAGGCGGGTAAAAAGCTCCTGCTTATTACAAACTCGGACTATGAGTACACAGACAAAATGATGATTCATTCATTTAATCGATACCTTCCCAATGGCATGGGCTGGCGGGATCTTTTTGACATTGTGGGTAGACTACAAATATGCTTATGCATCTGGCTTGTTAATTTTTTTCTTCTTTCGACATTTTTGTTCTCGTGCTTGCTGCTGACAATCTCGGTTATATATATGCAGGTTATTGTTTCTGCTAGGAAGCCAGAGTTCTTTCAGATGTCCCACCCGTTGTATGAAGTGGTGACTGGTGAAGGTTTAATGCGCCCATGCTTCAAGGCTGAAACAGGTGAATTCTTGATTGTTTCCGCCACAAAAAGGCTCAGATTTTGCAGCCATAGAAGCTAACCTTTTTTATTGATCTTTCTCTTCTTCTCTAATAGGAGGTCTGTACTCGGGGGGAAGTGCTCAAATGGTGGAGAATTCACTTGATGTCCATGGAGATGAGATATTGTATGTCGGTGACCACATCTACACTGATGTCAGTGTATCCAAAGTCCATCTCAGGTGGCGAACTGCACTGATTTGCCGTGAATTGGAGCACGAGGTTTGAATCACCGTTTCCTGCCTTCTTTCTTTCATTTCACGGTCTAACTAGCCCGACCAGCAGAATTCAGCTGGAGTTCTGATATAACGAAACAGTAGACTCATTCTTATAATAAGAGGGCTTGATCTTAATTTATTGTGCAGTATAAGGCTCTAATCGGTAGCCGTGGTTACCGAGCTGACCTAATAGAGCTTATAAATCAAAAAGAGGTTGCCGCTGATCTCTTTAATCAACTCCGGCTTGCTTGCCAAAGACGGAGCCAAGGTCGCCCTGCTCAGGTGTGTGTGTGTTAGTCTATGCACCCAATATGATGTGATAATCATTACATACAGAAAAGATGGAGAACCATGATGGAAAAATTGCTTGTAAATGTTTACACCTTATCGCTTCTTGCCCTTTTAGACGCTGGCTGCTACGAACGTGGTTGAGAAAGAACTAACGGAGACTATGCAGAAGCTCCTCGTCGTGATGCAAAGACTAGACGAAAAGATCGGTCCAATGTTGGAGTCAGATGGTGAGCTCTTCAACAAGAGGTAATACGGCAAACAAATCTAAACAACAAACTTGCAAAAAGATTCACTTACTTACACTTAATTTGTGGGGGATTTGTTTTACCAGGTGGGGCTTCCTTTCTCGCGCGGGTTTGTGGGATAAAAGCCATTTGATGAGCCAAATCGAAAAGTATGCTCCTTTACCACATTTTTTAGCATACTCAAGCTTCAACCGAGCTCCCTCCCGGGTGACGTTTAACGAAAATTTTCCGTCGAAATTGTTTCAGGTACGCGGATATTTACACATCAAGAGTCTCCAACTTCCTCAACTACACTCCCTTCACGTATTTCCGCGCGCAGGAACAGGTGAAGCAAAAATGGCTTTTTGTCAGATCCCCTGAATTCCTAAATCCTAATACATAAAACTGAAAATGCGAATCGATATCTTACTCGTTCTTTCTGGTTTTTCCTCTGCAGTCTCTGGCTCATGATTCCGATGCCTATGATTTTTCGGTTCACGACACAGGTGTACAAAACTAGCATATGCCTATGTTGGTCGGATACTGGAACGGTTGGTTGTTGTAATTGTAGCAGATGACAAAATGTGGGTAGGCCAAAATAAGTGTATATCCCAATACTTCAGTTTCATATGTCTGAATATTGTATTGGGATGCTTTGTTGAATGAGATAACCATGTTTGCCGTCTCTATTACCATGTGCTGTTTTCTACTTGCTAACAAACGGTGTGCAGTCCTCTAATCAAAACTAGAAACGGCACGCGTTTATTCAGAATGCCCGATCACATGAAACCGAACGTGTTACTGTTACACAAGGGCAAAAGCGGCGTGCAGTTCTCTTATGAAAGCTAGAAACGGCACGTGCTTATTAATCAGCTAAAATTGCAGGCCTACAGTTCTTTAGAAACTGGCGTTCCTAATTTCGAAAGTAGCATAGTTTGTATATAATTTAAATTCTAATTTTTAATAGATGCCAAACTATGCTTCATAAACTTTATATTAGTCCCGAATCTTGTGATACAACAAAAAATTATATAATTAATATTTAAATTAAGAGATTATCTTTCATTTGTTTATAAAAATTAATGACGATTATGTAGTGATTAACAAGTTTCACACGAAGAGAACCGTGTTCCCTTAAGCCCCACATGTAATGTTAAATTTTATTGGCACCTACAATACAATATTAGTTATAAAAAATGATGCTTATGATGAGATGATGGAACGGTAGATTGCCAACTATATCATATGTATAATGAATTAAGTGAAGTTTAATATCCTAAAACTATATTAATATTTGGTTATTATTGAACGGTCTAAAATTATATGTCGACCACTTTACATATACAATCTTTTTTCATACATTAACTAAAACATGTTACGCATTTATAATACGGGTTCAATAATCACAAAGAGAACCGCTAGACAAGATTTATTTTAACAAAGAATTTATTCTTCGTTCGAAAATAATTATGATTAAATCACTTTATTCTGTAGGGATTTATATGAATGAAAATATTCCAATATTCTCTTCCTTAATTAACAATGATAAATACATAGAAAAGATTGGGATATTCCCCAATAGATAACAAAAATAAAATTGAACTTTACTTTATTCCCATTATAGCAATACATTACCCTTTTTTTAGTATTGTATAAGTAGTAATCGGACATGCATTGAATTAGAATATGTTCAAATCCTACAAGCACTACTTCATTAGGTTATATATATTCGATTTTCTTTCTAGGATCTATTCAACAATACTTTTTGAAGGTGTATCTTATTCTTCTAAATCCCACTAACATTATATACATATATATATACACATAAATATAATGCTTTTCATTATATTTTCGTTTAGAAGATTCTTATTTTAAAATAAATAAACGTCTTAGTTTTTACGTAAACAAAGAGATATTTATCACGATAAAATATTAGAGATTTTGTTTTGATGAAATGTGCATCTATTGACCAAAAGATTACAATTTGTAGTTTACATAACGGTTTTAAAACCGATTAGCAAAATAAAACTTACATGTCTATTGTTTTTCTAGTAAAAAAAACATATCAGAGGGCTTATGATATAGAACTAATCCTTTAGTAACGGATTTTTACGAGATTGCATGCTCATTTGACAAGATAAGATAAAATATCAGAGATTCGTATATATTTCTAATACAACAAATAAAAGAAATTGACATAGATAATATATATATATATATATATATATTGCATAATTTTGTCAATGAATCATTACAATTTTTTTTGGCACAGCCAGTACACGACCTGCATTTTGATATTTAAAGTCCTAGAAGCAAATAAAAAAAATGTAGTTACTAACATTTACGTTTCCAACAAAATTTGTCCTGTTTTTACACTTCATATTTCAGTATATACACATAGGGATGGGCAAAATATCCGAAAAATCCGAACCGATCCGTTATTCGATTCGTATCCGAACCGAAAATTCGGATATCCGGAGTTTACGGATCGGATACGGATATTTATTTGGAGATATTTGTCGGATACGCATCGGATACGGATATTAAATTTGAATTATTCGACATATCCGATCCGATCCGTATTTTGTAATAATATTATTAAATATAAGAATAATTTGGTATGGAGATTTAAAATACTTAATATTTATATGTTTTTTAGGGTGATTCAAGAAAAATTTTATATATATTGAGGTTTATAATTTTAAGTTTTGAATATTAAGATTTATTATGTTTAGTGTTTTGAGTTTTGAATTTTGAATATATTTGTATGTAATAGATTATAATTGTATTTGTATTTGAGTTGATTTGGAATGTTTAAATTATGAATTTTAAATTTGTGAATATTATTTATCTTAAATAGATTATATATTTTATTTACATTTGAATTTGTTATTTAATTTAAATTTAAATTTTTATAATATTTTAGGTCGAATACGGATATCCGCAAATATCCGTGATTTTAACGAATATCCGAAGTTGCGGATATCCGAAAATTACGGATCGGATACGGATAACAAAATCGAATATTTGTGCGGATCGGATACGGATACGGATATCTCAAAAATCCCGGATATCCGATCCGTGCCCACCCTATTATTACACATATATAATCACGTGCGTGTATATACATATGTGTGTGTGTGTGTGTGTAAATTTGACTGGTGTATCTGTTTCCAACATGTTTTCGATCAACGATCTGCTATTTTTCTGTCGTTGTAAGATGGCAGAGAGAAAACATATGTATCATCTATCAAATTTTTCACCATTATTAATCATGCGAGTAATGTTTTTTTTTACTGAGTAACGTCTTAATTATGAATAAGCAAATCTTTTTTGTGCCAACAAGGAAAATTTGTTAGACTTCTAAAGTGGTAGATATTCATAATGGACAAATTAATACCATGCCATCCACAATATATCGATCAAATGTAAAATACGTATCATAGACAAGGAAACCCCTATATATATATATAGGTTAGTTTTATATATGTGACACCGATATCTCTTCAAACCAAACAGTAAAATGAAACTGTAAAAAGCGTAAAATAAACAGATGATCCACACAAATTAATTAGGGTTCCTTCTTTTTTTTTTCACATGTCTCTGACTTCAAACATGTTTCGGTTCTTGACGACGATATCGTACATGTGCATGGACTTGAACCTGCCGAAATCTTTGGGAAGAGAGATGAGATGGATGGTGGACCGTTTGTGGAACTGGAGAAGATCGGGATCGTCGTAGTAACGTTCCCAGCCCAAACCGAACAACCTGCGCTCGAGAGCAGCGTACGAGGTTATGACTTCGTTGCTCGGTGTGTGCACCAGAACCTTCCGTTTCATTTGGCGGCTCCCCTCTACGGTTGTCTCCGCCGCCGGATTCTCCACTAGCCTAACCACGCCGTTTTTGAACACCCACACTCCCGACATGTTGTCCTCTTTCGCTAGATTTTGTGTGTGTGTGTGCGGTATGGTTATGGAGATTTGGATATGGGATATCACAGGTTGTTGGAGGGGTGGATATATATAAGATGGAGCTGTACAATTAAATTCTTGGACTGCCATAATAAATTATATGTGTATACATATACATGTAGATATATATATATATATATGCGCGCATATTTACTATATATCTTTTAGGTCTGTTTCCCCTTAATTTAAGTAGAGTATAACTGACTAAATATTCCAAAAAATAAATAAATGCAAAGTTTTTTCCCCTCAGAAAAAGTTAAAAGATTTATATTCGCCGTTTTCTATGAACACTGAATTTTTGGTGACGTATGGTCGGTCAATCTATATTATGCTAGCTGGGGCAGATTTATTGCATGTTCCAAAAAATATACGGTGTCATTTAGTCTTTATAATTCATTTCTAAGGCTGGAATGACTAAAACCATACCCAATAACATATAATTTTTTTTATAAAAAAAAGTAACATTAGAAATTAATGGACAGACACATGATAATTAAAATATCTTTAGGTCTCTTTTCCCTTAGTTTAAGTAGAGTATAACTGACTAAATATTCCAAAAAACAAATAAAATGCAAATAATATTGTTTGAGTCATTACTAGTGTCATAGAAGATATATATGGTGTGTGATGGAATCTTTTTTATTTTGGTATTGAAAAAAGGGATATCTAATCGAAATATTCAAATAGATAATTTAGTTTATGAAAACAAAAACTAGATAATTAAAAAAGAGAGAGAGAGATAAAAATATACTAATGTTTGCAAATGGTTATATCAGAATCTTTGTCCAAGTTATGGTTCTTGTGAGGAAAATAAAGTGGTAAATTCGATGTATGTGCTATATATTTGCGTTTTGGTGGGGGCATGGCTTTGTACATGTATCATGTACGATTATACGGATAGAAAGAAAAAATTCTTACATGTAATATGTACGCTCATACGGATAAAAAGAAAAGAAAATTCTAGCTCTAGATCCTCTTTATCCGTTTTCATAATAAAAAAATTCATACGAATTACCATATAATTATTCCTCTTTTTATCGATCTCATAGTTTTTTCTTGGCTAAATAACAAATATATTTTTTTTGGTAAGAACAACAACATAATTTTAAGTTGTTTTTACAATTAAAACACAGATAAACATGTGCCTAATGGCGTATGATCAAACAATTAAATGGATTTTTTTTAGGTTTCTTTGAATATTTTTGTAACATCAGCCATGACGATCACCGCCACGTGTCGCAAAAGAAGATGTCGTTTCTATACGACAGTTATTACGAAGAACATAGGGTTTCCAGATTTTACGAACCCTATCCTCCACTTGGGTGAGGACTCTGACACGTTTCAGTTTCCCCCCATGATCTTGGATCATGCCTAAATGTAATATCTTATCAAACTACTCACACTACATTCATCAACGTATATATATATATATATATATGTATATACGTATTTGTGTGTGTGTGTATACGCGTACTAATCATTTTTCTTGTTGAAATATCAAGAGCAATAATCAATAGCCATCGATTTTACCCTGTTGACCCGGCAGACGTGCATACATGTACGTATACATACACATATACACATGCGAAGACATCCACACTATGGAAAATCTGCCAATAACGTTGACGCGGGATATATATATCGAGGAGACCCATATCGGAGCCATAATAACCAAAACGACAACTTCAACGAAATTCATATATATATATATATATATATATATAGCCCCTCTCTATATCCATAATCCATCTTATATATATATATATATATATGTATATATAATTTTACTCATGTAGGGTCTACTTTATTGTGTGATATATACCATTCCATTATTCGTTTTAAAATAAAGTATTGGCCTCTTTTAAGAAAATTCAAATATGCCAACTTAAAACCTGAAATTGTAACAGTTTTCTCTATGTTATATATACTTGTTTTGTTTCACGGTTATAAATCACCGTCAATCCACATGTCTATACTTGGTCGATAAATTTTCCGTCCCTATATTCATTTTTAGTTTTGGCATATATTATATATATTCTTCATATTCATTTATAGTTATTATATATACATATATATACGTGCGTGTTTGTATTTGTTTGAGAGTTGACACTTGACAATAATGAATTTGAACCCATTCCTCATCCATATGGGGCATTGCTTCACTTTTTGAGATGACAAGTCACAGTTCCAAGCCATTGTGGGATATTGAATATATCGTGATTTACTTTTTTTTTTTAATTTTATGAAATTCCTGAAAGAAAATAGAAAAGTTATGGAGGAAAAAAAAAAAAAGAGAAAAAGCCACGGAATAACAATCCTCAATTCAATCCTATCCCACGGGAATGGGGCAAACACGGATCCTCCTTTGTCTTCACGTACATGAACTAATAGGTTTTCACACACACACACACACACTCACTCGTGGGTGTATATATATGTATATTCATATTCTATAATAAAACGGTAAAATAAATTTAATTATCTTAAAAAATCAATACATAAAACTAAATTGAAATTATAAACCAAAGAGAAAAAAAGGACAAAAAATATCACCGTAAAATAAGTAAGATACAAAACGTTATTAATATTGTCCAAAAACAGATCCATGTACCATGCATAACACAGGTTACTCCGGATCCCTCCTGTTTGTGAAATGATGATCAGCAGCCAGTGCTTGAATATGGACACGAAATTCAAATCTCCAGAAGAAGATGGCAAAGGAGACTGTTTTCTCCTCATGGGTTTTGTCGTTTATCCAGATCCAGTTGGTTTCTGTGTTCTGTTGTTGCAGCAAAATCTGCAAGAAGAAGATACAACAGAAGAGCTTAAGAAGGTCATAAGAGAGACGTGGAGCAAGACAGAGGCTTTTCATTCTCAGCAGCGGAAACAAACCTTAATAAGCCACTTCCTTGTCCTTTCTTGAATCCGGCAAGAAGTTCCAAGAGGATTGTATTCTCAGAGATGATCACAATCCTCTCGGATTAGGCTGAGCAATCACATGATACAACAAAAATTCTGCAGAAAAAAACGGAACAAGAAATTAAAGCAGCCATTTCTGTTGCTTAAAAACCATGGAAGATGCTACCAGAGAAGATAACTAGAGAATTCTCCATCATTTTGCCAGCAGCACGACAACAAGCTGAGATGTTCAAGCTTTCTAGAAAGAACATAACACAAGATGCATTTGCACGGAAGAGTTACCGTGAAGATTTTGATCGTTCTTGAGAACTAAGTGGATTTTTTCCGGGTGTTCTTTGATTTTGTTCTCCAGAGACTCGAGCAGGTCTCACTTGAGAAGAAGCTCGTATGTCCGAAGATACGAGCCCGTCTTACTATCGTAAAAAACATTGTCCTGTCCAGAAACTCGAGATCCTTGTCATTTCACGAGGAACTTCACAAGGGTCACGTTTCCTGGATTCAGACATCATCCAGGTGGATTTCATTTTCGTATACCAAGACAAGTGATGGATGACAACTCTCTACCAAGATCTCGAAGCATGTTGTGACTTTGCAGTCTCACTCAAAACAGCTCCAACAACAGCTGCCTGTTCACGGCATTCAGCCTTCTCCAGAGCACCCAAAAGAACAACACATGTTTTGTTATGGATATGTAGTCCTTTCTGATGTGTTTCCTCGAAAAGGGCAAAAGCGTCCATCGCCCTGTTTCCATTACTTAGCCCTTCTATCATGGCACTATAACAAGTAGAGTCTGGTGTACACCCATTTGCCTTAAACTGATCAAACAGTGCACTAGCCTCGGCGATATTCCCAACCTTTGCAAGCCCCGATATCATGATATTGTGGCTAACGGTACTGGGTTTCAGGCCAAGATTCTGCATCTCTTGCCAAAAGACAAAGGCTTTATTAAACTTCCTGACCTTGCAAAGACCTTTGATTAAGATACCATAGGTAACTTCGTCCGGAGTGCATTGCAGGTCTTTCATGGACTGAAAACAGACAAGGGCTTCGTTGATTTCCTCAGCCACAATCAATCCATCAAGCAATGCATTCCATGTAACGACGTTAGGTGTTAGTCCTTTCTGCATTAGCTCTTCCATGATAAGGTAAGCTTCATCGATTCTGCCAACTTTCCCAAAGCCATTAATAAGACTGCAGTAGACTACCATGTTCAACTCTATGCCCATCGATTTGGCCTCCTCATAGAGCATATAAGCTTCGTCAAGCCGGTCAATTTTGGAAAGGCCGTCGATTACAGAACCATAGGTAACAACAGTTGGTCCATGACCCTTTGTTTTCATCTCCTCCAACAGCTGATAAGCTTTGTCCACGTGTCCGGACTTGCAAAAACCATTAATAACTACGTTATAAGCACGGGTATCCAAAACACAGCCTCGCTCATTCATGGAATAAAACCATTCATAGGTTTCATTCGAAAACCCTGCTTTCACCACTCCATCTATCAGGATTGAATAGCTTAGAGCATTCGGAACAAACCCGCGGGCTTTTATTTCCTCGAACAGAGCCCTACCTTTAACAGGTTCACCAGCTTTAAAAACACAATCCATGTAAGTGTTAAATAACCGGAGATCAGGAGAACAACCTTGATTGTGCATTTCCTTGTATATCTTGTGGCCATCTTCTTTTCTACCGTTGTTGAAGAAGTTCTTTATGAGGGATGTGTAAATAACGGAGTTAGGGCGACAATTTGACTCCAACATCTTCTCATAGACACTATAAGCTTCATCTACTCTTCCGCTCCTCCCCAAGCCATCGATGAGCGAGCAAAACGTATACTCATTTGGGGCACAAACCTTACAATCCATCTCTTCGAATATAGCACGAGCTTCATCAAGTTTTTGGGCTTTACAGAGCCGATCAACCATTATGTTCACAGTTCTAACATTAGGAAACATGCCAGATTTTCGCATTGAATCACGTAGCTCAAAAGCACAGTCAAATTTACCTGCTGTGCAAAGCATGTCAATAAGAATATTATAGGTGGAAAGATTTGGAGCAGCATCTTTCTTCATTTGCTCAAAGAGTTTCAAAGCTTCGTCCACTCTTCCCTTTTTCTTGAGGCACGTAAGAATACAGTTATATGCAATTACACTCGGTATAGACCCCTTTGCCCTCTGTCTCTCTAGTAGACTGTATGCTTCCTCAAATTTTCCAGCTGACCCATAACCCATAATCATTGTGTTGTACGCAAAAGTGCAAGGGGCCTGTCTGCTCCTTTCCAAGTGCTCAAACATTTCTACAGCTTCATCCAACCTGTTTGCCATGCACAGGACTCCTATCATGCTAGTATAAGTGACTTCATCGGGTTTCAAGCCATTTGCTTTGATCTCGTGAAAAAATTTCCATGCCACATCAACCTTTCCTGCCTTACCGAAGCAGTCTATACATACGTTATAGAGAACAACGTTGACATCACGAGATTTGCTCTTCATCTCGTCGAGCAATGATATGGCAGAATCAACTCTCCCATCTTTGGCAAAGGCACGAATCAAAGTCGTAAGCAGATGAAGAGTTACTTCGTAACCCAGTTCCTGCATTTGGTGAAAAAGAGTCAGCATCGTATCAGATTGATTAACAGCCGACAAAGCGCCAATTAGAGTTGTGTAAGCTGAAAAAGCAGGCCGGAATTTGAACTTCCTCATGGTCTGTATGATATCAAAAGCATCTCTGAGCTTGTTCACCTTAACACAGCTTAAAACCATCTCGATACAAGAGTTAACAGAAGGGTCAAACCCAGCAACACTCATTTCCCCGAGAATTTGCTCCAAAGCATCAAAATTTCTACAACGAGCCATCACCGAAAGCAAAGAGTTATATGCTTCGGGACAATGTGTAAGATCTGTTTTCCTCTCATACCATCGGAAATAACGAATTGCACAATCCACATCTTTTAACCTCCTTAACACTCCAGTTACTAACTCCTGCTGGGGATCTATAGTAATAGCCGATAGAGCGTTCTCAGTTGAAGCTCCCCATGGACCACTCTGCAAAACACGGCACACTTCATCTACCACTTGCCTATTATTACCATAATCTGAATGAACAGATCTGTCAGGAAACTCTGAAGATGTCCTGTCTGACGATGATGATAGATTCCTAGATACAGTAAAAATGCAGGAGCACTTTGTATCAATGCGGTGTATGATTCCTGCAACATAAGCAAGAACAGAACAACTTAATGCAAACGGAAATCAGCTTCCCATATTTCAATGCCCGCCAAATTAATATAACAGAAGAGAAGTGTAGCCACCAGAGAAAAGGAGTCCACTTTTTTTTTTTTCAGAAAATCCGCCATGAATGGCCATCAAAAGCTTTCAGTGAGATTCTCAAATGCCTAGCCTCGATATTCTAACAGGATCGGCACAATTCACCTCAAATTCTACAGATTTTATACCCATTCCCACCAAATCAGATTTTTCTCAAAGATTGAGAAGCTATGAAATAGTGTCTTCTTCGCCGTGATCTTACCTGGTCTTAAGAGCATCCTCATCCATACGACCTTATTGTCGACAGAGCAGATTGATTTCCGACAAAGACGATGGAACATAATCATATTACCTCGCCAACAAAACAAAAAACAAACTTTAATCTTACGAACAACAAAGGTGAAAGATTGTGAAGTCAGAAGCTCACCTTCCCGGCGAAGTATAGGGTTTAACGAGACGCCACAAAAAAAAAATGATGGTTATCAGCAGAACCGCAACATAAGGAAGGAACCTCCAGTTCTTTTAGAGGGTTTAAGTAAAGTAGAATCTGGAGTCAAAAGGACCGAGTTTGACTTCGTTTATTTATCCGCGGTAAGGTCGGGTCGGGTCGTCGTCATCTGGCCAACGAATTTTGGTCTGGAAGCCGAAACGCCATCTACTGATACTGCTCCAATAGCTTCGCCCGATTATATTCTCTTCCTTAGAATCTCCAATTTGTCTGGTCGAACAGCTCTCTAGGGTTTCGTCTTATTTGGGGTTTTAACCAGACAAAAAGAGTTTGATCTTAGGGTGCGATTTGTGAGTTTCAGTTCCTGGGCTATATCCGCAAGGGTTTTTGCTTGAATGGGTTTCTTTTTTTCTTTTTTTCTTTTTTTTTTGAATTTCTAAGGTTTATGTTCTTCTGAGTCTAAGTCGGCGCTATTACCAGAGACAACAAATACAAAGACAGTGATGAATGTTTTCAGTTTGAGCCCACCTTCTAAAAATTCGAGATCTTCATCTTCACCAAGAGCCATGGCGAGGGGAGTCTCTCGTTACCCAGGAGCGAAAGCTCCTCTGCGGAGGGAAGTTCATGCGCCATCACGAGTCACCAAATTTGGGTTGTCTTCCCGCACAAGTCAGCGACACAGAGGAAGTGATTCTTCGTGTAGCACAAGACAGGAATCCGGTAATGATTTTGGGGAAATTTTCCTTAGGAATTACGATGACGCCAAGCTAAAAGCCCTTAGTGCGCTTAGCTACTTGAGGAAGGATAAAGACGTGGTTGATGTTGATAATGAGCCTGACAACGTGGTCGTGATTTCTGAGGATGATGAAATTATGGAGATTGAAGTGATTGATAACGGGGTTGTGACAGTGAACGAAATGGAAGAGAATGTGGCGGTGGAAGAAGGAGATTCGGCAATGGAGGTCAAGAAAATGGATGAAGGGAACGTGGGAGTTGATTCGCCATCTAATATGTGGAGCTCACTTGTCTTGAACCGTTCCATGGCCAATGTTTCGAGTTTCGAAACTTACAGGAAGTTTCTGGGGAGTGCCAAGAACCGGACTTCTAGACTTAAAGATTTAGGCTTTACATATCTTCTGAAAGAAAGGTGTCTGACTTTGTTGAAAGGGTTGCTTCCTTTATGGAAGCAAGCTGAAGAAACTGTAAAGGTTGCTTATTTTCCATTAATCCTTGTCAAACTGATAATAGTTAGAGCATTTATATTCAAAATCTTTTCCTGTTGGAATTGCTTCTTTGCATTGTTTGGTCGGGTTTTCTTCTTCTTTGTAATGGATTTCTGTATATCCGTTTTACCGGTTTTCAGGAGGTACCTCGTGAACCATTTACACCTCTTTCCAAAGAAGAAGAGAATGTAGTTAAGCGTGCTCTCTCAGCTAATAGTTGGTATTGTTTGATTGCTGCTCTCCTCTCTATTTGCTCGGGGAAATTCCAGCTCTTGTTGGATAACATGATGAACTTTTTTTCTGCAGGGATGTCCTGGTTAGTCATAAGAAATCAAATATTGACATTACAGGACAAAATCTGAGGTGCCTTAGGCCAGGTCAATGGTTGAATGACGAGGTTAGTAGCTAAAGCACAGTTTGGCGTAATCTCGTGGGTGAAAATTAGAGTATTTGTTTGGTAAATTCCGGGTTCTGTTCTTATGTAGGTCGTTAATATTTACCTTGTGTTGCTGAAAGAAAGGGAAGCTAGAGAACCGAAGAAGTTTCTGAAATGTCATTTTTTCAATACATTTTTCTACACGAAGGTTATGCATATTCGTTTTTTAGGCTTCTGAATTTCAGGTCATCTTCCGTGTATGTCTTGATGGAATCTTTAACACAATATGACCTTAAAAATCACGCCTTTTCAGTTGGCTAGTTCAGAGGCCGGATATAACTATAACGCCGTCAGGAGATGGACTTCGTTGAAGAGGTTGGGATACCGACTCATTGACTGTGACAAGGTGGGCCTTCTCTGTCAATTTTGCTTTTTTCTCTTCTTTCTTTGATTTAACTCTGTTTGAACTTATTTTCATTTGTGGTCAGATATTTGTCCCTATCCATATGAGCATCCATTGGACTTTGGCTGTTATTAATAGAAGAGATAAAAAATTCCAGTATCTCGACTCATTCAAAGGAAGAGAGCCAAGAGTCCTCGATACACTGGTATAGTATTGGTAGAGTAAACCAATTGATACAGATAAAATCGATCACTATGATACTTTTAGCCTGACCCCGGAATTTCATCTCTCAGGCTAGATACTTTGTTGATGAGGTTAGGGACAAGAGTGGAGAAGACATCGATGTGAGTTCTTGGAAACAAGAATTTGTCCAAGACCTTCCCCTGCAGAAGAACGGGTACAGTTCTGTAGAAATATTCGGACATCTCAGCTAACATAATTCGCCTATGTACCAACACAATCCTCACTCTTGTTCAGATTATTAACCATGACTTGTCATGTTTGATTATCGCAGGCACGATTGTGGAATGTTTATGCTGAAATACATCGACTTCTACAGCAGAGGTCTCGATCTTTGTTTTGGTCAGGTAAATGGCCGTGGGGACAAAAGGGATACCTTCTTTGTAGTTTGTGAATCGATCTCTGAAAATGTATATAATTGAAATATGTTTTATTAGCAGAATTTCTTGGCGATGGTTTGAAGAAAAAACTGATTTTCCTTCCCCCCAGGAACACATGCCCTGTTTTCGGGTTAGGACAGCAAAGGAGATTCTGCAGCTGAAAGCTGATTGATAATCTATCTTCTAAAGCAGAGTTTCACTGCCAGAGGGGCAGATGGTTTTCAAGCCTCTTTGTGTACATACACAACAGAATGAGGATATGCAGATGAACACAGGCGAAGCTTTTTCGGTGTACAAACAATGTTCATCATGACATGTCTGAATTGAAACGGTGTTAACAGTGAAGCAAGATGCCGTCTTCATGTGCTTTGCAGGTTTTAGGACAGTGAAGGAGATTCTGCAACCGAAAGCAGATTGAGTTCTTCCCCTTGTAAACAGAGCTTCAGAAGCAGAGGGGAACAGATAGGTTGAAGCCAAACTGATGGCTTTGTTCTGCGCGAACACTGGTAAAAGACTGCCATATAATTTATACAAAATGTGTGCATGTGTGTGTGTGCGTGTGTATACATATATATGATTTTTTGCTATCTAGATTTGCAAAAAATACGCAACAATCCATGTTGCAATTCAATTTTTGCTTATATTGAAGAATTCAAACGACAATCAAATCAAATTACTTCCTTGCTATGGGGAATCGAAACAATTTCTTTCCTATTTTACTTATCTTTCGTTAAAATCGAAATGCATTCTGTGAACCTGGCTCTGGGCCTGGAAATAGAAGATAAAAGGGTTTACGTTTTGCCAAAAGCCTGGTGATCCAGTGAGAGAAAAGGTAGCTTTTTTCGTTGATGAAACGGTTTGACCCGAGATGGGTTTTCCAAGACGTGATTTCAAGATTGTTTTTACGACATGGGTTTTGAGAAAGGCAGAAAAAGGAGTCACCTTTCAGCAAATTGGCGCCGTGACTGAAAAGCAATAACGTAGGAGCATCGGCAATTGCAGATTAAGTATATTGCCAAGAGAGGAGTATGGTAACTTAAAAATTGATTAAAAATTAAGAGTATTTTATACCAATACCATGTAATAAGGTTTTGATAGAAGCAAACAATGATTTTAAATAATAGGGTTATACGTAGAAAGAAAGCCACTACCAAAGGAGAGGTGTTTCACCCTTCATCTTCAGCACTTGACCTCCTTAAGACCGTGGGCAAAGTACAAAAACGTTGGATTAGTCGCACCATCCTTGTAGTAAGCAAACACCAAGCTGCTGTCGTCTGCCATGCTCTCCCCGACAAAGCTGGAAAAAGAAGAACAGAGGAGATGTGTCATCGCGTTGCGTGCGAAAGGAACGGGAAAAGGGAAAGGGAAAGA